TTGGCAGGCTTGAACATATATTTTATCGAATAAACAACTTGACCTTTGAAAAACAAATCACCATTGCCTCTTTCGCCCGACCTCATACACCTCAGAACTGTACTAATTTGTACGCCTCTAGAAACTTTAGCATACCACATTGGTCCTGTCCATCTATTGTGCCTCCCTGCTACTAGTTCTCTGTCTTTATCTTTCTCCTGAGGTAGAAACAATATATGACAATATGAAAGTAAATAAATTAGAAAAAGTAAATGCCAATTTAAAGGCACAATTAGTTATAATAGAACATATAAATAAAATATTTTTTGACAAATCAAATTAGCAAAAAAAGCATATTAAATATTTAAAAAAGAAAAATGAATAGTTAAAATTATATAAATCAATAATATAGCAAATAGTAATTGTAAAAACTATAAAAGTAACATTTGAATTTCAAAATAAATACAAATCTCAAAATCAATTCAAACCTCAAAAAACAACTTGAACCTAAATATCAACTTGAACTTGAATATCAATCTGAATTTGAATATTAACCCAAACTTGAATACTAATCTGAACCTGTACCTTAAATTGAAACCAAATATATAATTTCAGATTTCAAAAATATATCAAATATATTAAAAAATTAAAAAATTTAACATAAAGAAAAAGATAAAGATCTTAAAAAAGTAAAGTAATAGAAATGGTCAAACCTTTAGAAACTGTTTTTAAAAATAAAAAAGAAAAAGAGACAAGAGTTGAAATAATAGTTTTGATAAAAACTATTTCTAAAGAATATTAATTAAGAATAGATAAAGTTTTTTCAGGTAATATGAATAAAAAATATTAAACAAGTTAATATCCAAATTACTAAAATTAATAATTCTATATTTTAATTCATTATAAAAACAGCTGCATTATTGGTTAGATGTTTTATATCATCATTAAAAAGAAAAACATCAAAAGATACAAATAGGAAAATTAGATATAAATAATTATTGCTTATATATAAATAGCTAATTAAATAAGATAAAATTAATTAATATTTATATTATATTACTTTGTATTGATTTTTATCAAATAATTAAAAAAAAGGTATAAAGAATCAAAAGTGTACAATTACTTATTGACAAAAAGTTCAAGAGTATTGCAAAATATTAGAAGAAATTGATTGATATAGTTAAAAAACCAAGAATTCATTTGACTGAAGAAAGAAAAACTGGTTTAAAAAATAATGATAAGAGAAGAATAAATATATATAACTATAGTTGATATTTTAATAAGATATTTTTTAATAAATTATTTTATAGTTAAAAGATTTATTGAAAAATTAAAATAAATATTTAAAGTCAATTCAACCATTTCAATTAATACATAAGTAAAACTATAGTAAATTTTATTATTACAATATAACCTTAACAAAAAAAATTTGCCAAGTTGAACTTATAAATTAACAAATGAAAAGCAAAAAATAAAACAAAGTAAAAAAGATAAACAATTAATAAAAAAACATAAAAGATAAAAAATTTCTGATTATGAGAAATTATTTATATATTCAAAGGAAGAGAAGCATCAAACTAGAGAAAGTATATAAATAGATGAAATTTAGAAGCAATAGAAAATTAAAAAAAAATCATAAGAAGTTCAAAAAATGCAAGAAGTACAAGAAGTATAAAAAATATAAAAAAGTATTCCAAAGTAAAGGAAATTTAATATTATAAAATTTTTGAAAGTTACAAAAGCCATAACAAAATTAGCAAAAGAAAAAAATAATTATGAGCAGAAAGATTTGAATAAAGAAATGGAAAAAAAATTTAGTGAATAATAAGTAAACAATTATTGAATAATTAATTAGTAAATAATTAGTGAAAGATAAACAAATAATTAATAAATAATTAGCAAATAATTATTTTAAATTTTAAATTTTTTAAATTTTTAATAAATTTATCAAATATTAATTAAATTTTGTTGAATATTATTATAAATATAATTTTTTTATTAAAAATATATAATTTAATTTTATAAAAGTATATAATACTAAATAATTTTGTCAACTTTATAGTTAAATAATTAAAATTTATTCAGAATGCTATAATTTTTATTATAGAATATTATAACTTTATTATCAAATATTTTAACTAAAAATATTTTTTTGCTGAATTTTTATTGCCAAATGATTTTATTGTCAAATAATTTTATTGCTGAATGTTTTTATTGCTGAATAATTATTTTTTTGTTGAATGTTATATTTTTTTTACTAAATTATTATGTATTGTTTAAGTGCCAAACAACAAAACTTTGGTATAAACTTTTATTAATAAATTTGAATTTAATCAATTGTAATTTAGCAGCAGAATAACCTAATTTGGAATATACATGTGTTTATATTTAATTCAGATATTTTTCATAAACTATATTATGTTTGTATTACTAAGTAACAATTAGTAAGTAATTGGGAATCATATTTAATTCAGAATTGTATTGTCAATCAAATTTCCTTTTATGGTAATAAGAAAACATGTATAATTTGGACTAGTGAACCCTTCAGTAACATTAATCTTTCACCATTTGCACCTAGCATTAAAATAAAAATATTGATCAAATATTAATTAGAATTTTTGAATTTTTAAAAAATTTGAAATGATTGTTGTGTATATTTTTTTTAAAAAAGCATTTATACAAAACAAAATATCAATCTTTATTTCAATTATAGTATATGAAAAAACATATTGTTTGTTATAATTTTATATTGATATTTTGATATGTTTTTTAAAAATACATTATAAACAAGGCATGGATCAATATAATAAGTAACTTGCGCTATATCGATGATATTAATAACTTGTCTAATGCATTTAAAAAGTTTTTTTTAAAATAGTATTTATACTAACAAAATGTAAATTTTCGAGATTTACGGAAAGTGTTTATGGAAAAAAATCATTTTTAAAAAAATTAATTGTTTCTATATTGAGTGGCTGCTCTTAATGATACCTGCCTTGTTATATTATTTATTACAGTGGTATAGGGAAAAGGTGGTAATTTCTCACGCGATGTTATACTGGGTATAATAAGAGGATAATTGGGATAATTAGGATAAGGAGAGTAATTAAAAACTTAGCTTTCATTAAACAAAGGTAGCAAAGTGTGCTCATTCGACAAATAAACTTTATCTGTGTTCCATTTTCTCAGTGTTATATATATATATATATTGTTTCGCTCGTGATCACGTGACACACCGACAAAGATCGGTCAAATCCAATCGCCTCTTTCGCCTATAAGGCAAGAAAATATAGTGTTAGTGTTGACATAAACCATATAGCTAAATAGTGCAAAGCGGACCTACTTAGCTGATATGCGATGTGCCGCGACCAGACCTGTGTGCAGGCAAGCAACAAACTCGCCGTATCCTGCCGTTACAACAGTATCAATCAAAGACAGAACGTACTTGAATTTGAAAATTTTCTCTAATATATAATCACACGATTAAGAATTAAGGAAACGTAGATATTGGGAGAAAATGTTCGAGTGTGGAGAAAATTGATAACATCGAAAATTGTGACACCTTTGTACAGAGAAAACTAATGGAAGTAATTTACTCAAAAAAGACAAATCTCGTTTGTTTTCTCTTTTTTTTTCTGATCGACATATTACCCAAATAATCATTTACTTGCCTTTTCATATATGAAGGTCATGTGTAATTTACGAATACATATAATGGTTGTACGTTTTTTGGAGAAATTCAAGAATTCCAACAAATAAACTTAGTCAACACACGAATGCTCAAGTTCTTTTTATGTGCACAGCCTCATTTGTATCACTGGAATGGAGCCACGAACATAAAAAAAATCATAATCGTTCTACAATAGAGAATTTTTTGCAATAAAACATGTTGGAATCTTCTTGTTTCTAAGCCTAGTTTGTTGGTAAGCCCCAAAATTCTAAAAAATCGAATATAAATTATCAATCTTGTGCACTTTGCAAATTGAAGGTTCGAGTTCATATTGCTGTTCCTATAAGTGTAGAAAACAAATAAACATCTTCAATATTCATTTAACTTGGGTAAATAACGCGAGTCTTAATGTCAATGTTTCACGCGAACAGTAATTATTTCTTGAAAATACAACAAGATTAGGCTTTTTTAAAAGGAAGAACTTAAAGTTTCATTCAGCGACTAAAAATAAGCAAAAATGACTACATCGAACCCATCAATATGGGAAATACTCCTAGGGTTTTTGGTGGCGGTAGGGGCTTCTATTATGGATGCGTTAGGTCTAAATTTGCTTCAACTGGATCACGTCAAAAATGCCGCAAAACCCCCCGAAAAACAACTAAATGAATTTCGTAGGCCTCTATGGTATTTGGGATTATTTTTGTATATCTTCTCTCAAACTGCAGGAGGAACAATTGCATTAAGTATGTTATTTATCATAAGAATCAAGTCATCTTATAGATATGTGGAATAATAACGTCTTGTTTATATGAACAAAGATTTCCTAAAGGCACAGTGGGTAGCACCGATTGGATCGGTTTCTCTGATTTTCAATTTTATATTCGCCCGAGTTTTCGTCGGGACACAAATTACCAAAAAGGACATTATAGGAACCATCGTTATTATAGTTAGTGTAATATGGGTTGTGGTATTCGGAGGATTAAACAGTAACCAAGACGGTAAGTATCCTAAAAGAACACGACAACTTGATACCCTTTATTGATTTTTCTTTTTGTCATCTTAAAATTGAATGAATGAAGAGGACTTCGACCTTGAAAGATTGAAAGAACTAATGTTACGACCAGTATCCGTCGTCTACTTTTCCATTTTTGACTTGCTTACGTTCACTCTCTTCGGGATTACAACCTATAGTCTTTGGGTTCTTAATGATGAAGGGAGAAAAAAAAAAAACGCATATTTTAGTGGGATTGAAACCTCCAGATTGCAAAAGTACGTTGGTGTTTCTATGGCTTCTGTGGGTGGTCTACTCGCTAGCCAAACTTTGCTATTGGCCAAGAGTGGGTACGTGAAAGTTGATCATAATAGTACTGTTTTTGGCGTTGCGTAAATGATATGATTTTTTACGGATTCTTATGTTTATAGCGTAAAATTGATTTCCATTTCTATCTCGGAACACGAGAGTCAATTCACTGACAAAATAAGTTGGTTCATTGTAGTTGCCCTTATAATTACCGCTGTACTTCAGGTTGGTGGCATAGCAAAAAATTTTTTCACCACTATCTTAATAAATTGTCTAAAAATTTTTATTTTCAGATTTATTGTCTGAACACTGGGTTGAAATTAAGTGATTCTGTATTAGTCGTTCCCATCTTTTATGGGTTTTACACTGCTTTGGGTCTAGTCAACACCATAATTTACCTCGATGAATTAAATTCATATCCATATTGGGCTCTTATATTAGTCTCTTTCGGCATTTCTACATTGGTCTACGGTGTTCTGCTTTTGAGTGAAGCGAAGGAAGAAGTCGAGGGCGAAGGTGAAGCTGGAGATGATGAAAACTTTCCTTCGAAAGATGACGAAAAGTCTGACTGGAAGTCTACAAGCGATAAGACTTCTTCAAGTACCGATGGAAAAGCAGATAAGCTATCAACGGGCGTCAAAGAACTATGTGAACGTGTAAAAAGTTGGTTTACGGTGGATTCAATCAAGTCTTCGACAATTGGACGAGCATTTGGTAAAGGATTCACCAAATTAAGTGAATTACGTAGTGGCAGCCATGTGAGGGACAATGATAAAGTGGATATACAAATGGAGGATGTGGAAGGCGAGAAACCTTCAAGTCAAGGAACAAATGTAATAGAGGTTCACGAAAAATCTTAACTGGAAAATAATAATCTTCGAAAATGAATTATTCAATGGACCCATCATTTTAACGTGAGCTCAATGTTCTCTGGAAAATAACAGAGAATAAAACACGTTATCAATGTAATTTAATTATGAATTCTCTTATTTAACTCTGTATCTGGAAATTATTGTGTATATAATATGTATTAAAAAAAGAAATAGATATCAAAAAAACAGTTATTGTACATAATGAGGACTAAATTATCTGAAATTGTCGTGTTTTTTATCAATACAAATTTATTTATTACAGTATTTTTTCAGATTAGTTTATTAATTCTTTTTGTTTTAAAAATTATACATTTAGTAATACTGTATATACTTTTATTGGTTTTATCTTAATTTCATAATTATATAATAGCTTATTATACCTATATCATAAAATAATAATCATTTTTAATAATAAAACATGTAATAACTTATTCTATCAACAATAAATACAGTTCAATTATAAGGATTAAATAATTGTTTTTTTTTTAATTTACTTTAATAATCATTAACTTTTTATAAAATAAATAAATTGGTTGTATTGATTTAATAAAATTTTCTAACAACTTAATTTTAATATCATAAAATTTGATTTATAAATTGAAATTTAAATAAATAAATAAATGATATTTTATTGTTGTATTTTGTTTTTAAAATAATTTTTAAATTTAAAAAATAGATACTTCAAAAAAAATTTATTTATTTTTTGTAACAAAATCTATTTATTTGTTTAATTTTAATATTATTTAAAGATTTTAATTTTTTCATTTGTTTTTTGTTTTTGAAAATTTTAAAAAATAAAAATATTTTGATTAAAAAAAACATATTAAAAAACTTTTATTTATTATTATTATTTTTTTTAAATAGTTAAAATTATTTAAAAACAATAATTTGATTTTAAAATTTTATATTATAAGTTTTATTTTATATAATAACAAATTCAATAATATAATCAATTATAATAAAAATAATAAGATATTAAAATATTTATTTTATTTGGAATAGTTTGATATATTTTTTTATTGATTTTTTTTTTAATATAATAAAAAAATTTTTTAATAATATTTATTTTAAAAAACATTTAAATAATAAAATCTTATAATAAGAAAAATATAAAAATATAAATTTTAATTATAAATATTCTAAACCTTTTTAATTAACAATAAATAAATAAATAAATAAATTATTATTATTTTTTTTTTTTTTTAAGGGCTAAGGTGCAATACATGCAATGATTTTTATTATAAGTTTTATAGATTACAATTAACCATTACATGAACAGTCTATGTTTAACTGACATACTGCCCTTATTCTAATAATCAAAACTTTATAATCATTAAATAAGTATTTAATTAAAAATTTTATTATATAAATGTTAATATTTTCTTAAAAAAATTATTTAATTTTATTAATTTGTTCTTTTATTTTACTTTTTAAAATCTTTATTTAAAAAATAAAAATTATATAAATATATACAGTAAATACTGTATCTTATTTTTTTTAATCAATAATTAAATAGAAATTAAAAAGTATAATATAAAATTTTATTAAAAATTAAAATATTAAATTAAATAATAAAATAGTTAAAAATAATCTTAAGTATAAAATTATTTTATAAATATTAATTTAATTATATTTAAATTTATTATTAATTTTTTTTTAATAATTTTTGCCAAGTTACAAATAAAAATATAATTGTCATTTTTTTTTTTAATATACTGTATATTGTTTTAAAATCTTTTTTTGATATATTGATTAAATAGTTATAATAGATAGGTTAATATTTTATTTATTATATATTTTGTATTTAAGAGATGTTGTTTCTTTTTTAATGTATATCTTGTATATATAAAATAAATAAAAATAATAGTGCTTTTCTATTTTAAAAAATGATAAAAAAATTTTGAAAAAAAAATATATTTAAAAAAAAACTTAAGAAAAAAAATCTAGTTTTAATAAAATAAGAAGGGCAAGAAAAAAAAATAATAAATATGAAAAATGAAAAAAACAAGAAATTTTTAAGCATATTAAAGAAAAAAGAAAAAGATTTTTATTTAAAACATATTTATATTTTATATTAATTATTCTATAAAAAAAATATTACATCGTAAACGAGTTACCATATACAGCATAATGATTTTTTCAAATGAATTTTTAGAAATTTTTTTTGAAAAATAAAAAATCTACAATCATATGGAAATATGTTAATAAAATAATAATGAGAATAATTTTTTTCGATTTTTCAATTTGACTTAAACCAAACCAATATTTGATAAAAATATGGGGTTTTTTAAAAAGAATAAAATCATTTTCAAAAAGTTCTTATGAATCGTAACTTGTGGTTTTTTTTTATTAGATTCCAATTTGTAGATAAAGAAAAATTTTTTAATTTTAATATTAGAATTAAATAAAAAATTCAATATAAATTAAAAAAGATCATTTATTTTAAGATAAAATAACATCGATATACTGTATATTAAATTTGTGAATTGTATGAAAATATTTCAGAGTTGAAAGTGTATGTCTGCTGGAACCATGTTGATAAGACTCGCAAGTTTACTAGGGGCATAGTCAATAGGTTTCACCTAACGATGCTTGTTATGTCGCGTTTTTATATTGATTTTCAATGTCTTCAAGTTATTTTACGTGCTTGTAATTAATGATATTGATATAATAGATTAAGTTTATTACTATTAGTAGTATAAATAATAATAATTTTTTTTAGTAAGATTCCAGATAAATGTTTATGATGAGTGTTCGCAATAAAAATGATGAGGATGACAAATTTCATGCAATTAATAAATTTACAGGTTCCGTCAAATTAAGTCTTTTTTCTTTGGTAAAGCAATGCAGCTTCTGTGGGATAAAAAGACAGACCAGAATTTTTTATAGTCTAATGATCCACGTAATTTACTTTCTACAAACTTTAAACACCTCATATTCATCAACCGAGAATATAGTTGACTCGATAATACTATCGAGATAATCGTCTTTTTGGCAAGAACAACTACCTTCCAGGTTGAAACAACCTTTCATTGAAAGGTCCTTATCGCCAAAGCATGGACCATATTCTTTTCCGTTGAATCTTATCGCATAATAAGACCTTTGCCTCGATACACGACTCAATTTGGCGTCTTCTACTACCCCACGA